TTTGCCAGTGTCAGATGCTTCCATAACATGCATGTCACCATGCCTCTCTCAGTTGGTGACTAGTAGTTTGCAAAGTCTGGGTGAGCATGGAGTGGTTTCACCAGATATGAGTGAGATGCTGTGTAAAAGAAGTCGTATGGTGTTTGAGGTTTGTCTTTGTAACTGGCTCCAGCAATCAAATACACCTCCTCCCAAGCTGTTGTTTCCTACTATTCCATCCACTTAGCTTGAATTTTGGTTTTTGCTATGAAAGACCTTATAGATATGAGATGTGATTGCCTAGAGAAGGCAGGCAGATAATCTCAGTTGTATAGTTATATTTTTCAGTGTTAGCTTTCTGGGTTTGCCCTTTAAAGATATGACAGTTGTATATAAGTGGAAGTAATTTAGCCCTGGAGGGATGAAATTCTTTTTTAAGCTCTTCATGTAATCTTAGTTTGTTATTGCAAAAAGATCTCTAACCAGGAGCAATTGGGTCCAATCTGATGCAGAATTAAAAATAACTAGAAATCCTGGGGCAGTCCTCTGCAGTACCAGAGTGGTTGCCAGATGCAGTTGGCATCAGATGTGTGTCTAACTCAAATGCATTTGCCTGTATTTCACCCACAGGTATTGCAGACAGGAGGGCAGCTGGAGGGGTGTCCTGCCGACTGTTCTGCAAGTGGAGGCTCACAATGCCATCATATTGGTGCAGAGGGTTCAATGAAGTGGCACCCTATAACACTGGCAGCTGTACAAATACAGGGTAGAAGACAGTTCCTGCCTAGAAGAGGTAAAAGGCTGCAACTGGCAACAGAGAAGTGCAATGATTGCCTCTGGTTGTTCAGCAGCTCAGAAAACTCTTGGAATTGATTTGGCTCTGCAGACACTTTGAAAACAAATTTAATCCCTTTTCCAGTAAATTCTTCTGGTTTACTGCTAGCATGAAATGTCCTGACCACCACTTTACATGCAAGCACAAGGTCACTACAGACTGTACTGGATTATATGCACACTTCAATGGCAGCATCAGGATTTCAAAATGATGCAAGAGTATTTTTGTGCTGAGGAAGTGGTGAGACCTTCAGTTACCCAGAACTAGATCATCAGAAGACAAGGCAGGGTAGGGCTGGGAATATCAACCTGCCAGTCTTATCCCAGTATAGACTGGGTCATGTGAGCAGGCAGGAATTTTTCTAAGGTCAGATGCTATGGGCCATGTCTTCATCATATTTACATATCTGATTTTTAGGCAACTATGCCCCTTGGACATGTAATGAGGTTGGACTAGATAGCAAGGCAGCCTTAAAGAGGTGGACTAGAGTTATGGGATCAGTTACCTTCAGGAAGCAACACCTAGTCTCTTACTGATCTTCACAGTTGGGAAGAGCAGCATTTCCTCTAATGGTGAGGTTAGAGCCCATGTTTAAGAGTTGGGGAAAAAAGGAAGGTGAATGCTTTTTCTGATTCCTTTGGGTAGGATAACTTGGAGAAAACGTGATTCAGTCTAGCTTTGTTTTGTGGGCTGTTCAAGAACATCTTAGTCTATCTAATGATGTGGGGCAATAGCTTGTTCTTTGTCAGACAAGGAATATTTCCAGCCAGATAGCCTGAGCTACCTTTAAATTATTTGATCTAGCAGTTTGACAGCACTGAAGAGTGTAACATGGGCTAAAAGTTGACTGAAGTGTACATATACCTTCAGTGATCAACAAAACCCTTGCACCAGAACACCTGTGAACATTGTTATAATCTTTGTCTTCTTAACCTAGTGGACTGCCTCCCCTCTACAGGAGAGAGGCTAATTCTTTATATCTGAGGATGTGACAGGGCAAGGCCACGTGGACAGTGCTTACAAAACAGAAAAGAGGAAAGACAGTCTCTTTGCAGAGATTGTTCAAAGGTCAAAGAACACACATTGTGCATCATTAGGGCTTTCAAGTTGCTTGTATGTTTTCAAGTAAAATGAGTCTAGGGAAACTACAGCAGATGAAGAGTTTAGGGAAGTAGCCAGAGACAGTTATGCAAGAGCCTAAGACTTCAAACAGATTTTTACATACACACTTGCTGAACCTCATTTCTAGTACCTATTCCTTTATGATGATTCCTATTTTTTTTAAGAGTTCATCGCAGATCTAGCGCAAATCTGAGCTAACCAGACAGAAATGAATGGAACACTGCCCTGCTTAACTCTGTTTTTCTTCTATCCCATCAGGTGTAAATGAGTGACTGGCTTCAGAAGCACAAACACATTGAAAAAGGAGCGATGATGCATTCAGTGCTTGCAGCTATGAAGCCCTGGGGCCTTCTCAGTTCATAGATCAAGCAGCCATCAAACCACATCACAACACAAATTTATGTTCCTCTCCTCCTTCCCAGCTCTCTGCCCTTCATAAAATCCACCAATACTCCTACTCCAAATTCCCCAGAGACACACTATTACCAGACACAGACAGACAGACAGACATCAGTCAGTGAGGTACAGCTCATAAGTAACTCACTAAAGTGTCTGCTGGGATGAGGGAGGGAACTGCTGTGGGTGTATTGTTCCAGTCCCATCATTTCCCAAAACACTGAATGAAATAATAACTTGTTTATAATAATGCATGACATCACGGCAATGCTACAGAGCTGCACTTGAGAAGCAGCTTTGAACCCTGTGACCTTCCTTCAAGTGAGAAAGTCTTTAGGGAGGCCACAGGATTCAGAAAGTCCTAGTCTTCCTCTGGTTCTCTAGAAGACTTTTTTATTCTAGAATTAAAAAAATGGCAAGGACCACATGCACTTGCACACTTGAACCACCTGTTTTCTTTTCCCTTAGAGTTGATCTCTGGCTTAAAGCTAAAGATACCCACTTGCCAAGGAGTGACGGGAGCGATACATCAATTCATTCCACAGTAGATTTTTGACATAAAGTGAACCACGTCCAAGCACTTGATCCATTCTCCTCCAATAAGCTACCAGAGGAAAAAATTTCATCCCCTATCTGTGTCACACCATGTTGACATTACATAATTATCCACTCCCCTTGCCTTTACCTACCTGCTTAAAAGTACCTGGCCTTACAGGTTCACCGCTTTGATTTTGATACACTCTTTCTTTGCCATAATACCACAGCTAAATCCCTTTGTGCTACACAGCAAACAACTGCACCTTCCTTTGAAGGTACACTATGTACACTGCCTACTGTACCTTCATTATTTCTAGGCAATACAGAGCATCTGCTGACCAGTTAACCTCTTGTATTTTCCTATTTTACAGTGTAGTAAAAATGAAAGCAATCCAAAGTTTAGAAGGGGGAAAAACAAAAGCCAAACCAAATGAGAACTGATCCTGCTTTCCTGAGAGATCTACTTTAGAGATGTAATTTAATGCACCTTCTATCTTTTTCTTTCCCCTAGGCAGCTTCTTCCAAAGAAAGGAATCGTATCTTCAGCATCAGTTTATGTCTGGGGGACTAATCACTCCCAGGACTGAGCCCTCATGATGACTTAAGCTGCTCTGAATACAAAACTCCATGCATGGAAGGCAAAAGCTTTGTTTTGTTGCCCCAAAAAGGGAAGAAGGCTTGCTAAAAACAACCTTCAATCAGCTGTACACATCTAGACACTGTTGTCTTTAGTGTCCCAGATGGTCCCAGCTGTTGGCATATGCAATGACAATGACATTCATTTCTTTTGCATATACATCCCATGCGAGTCCAATTTTTCAGCTGCCTGCTGATGGGAAGTGAAATTCACCCAGAGAAAAGCTGTGCTTGAGGCCTACAGGATCCCAAAGCTTGTGCAAAAAGCCTCAGTGGGGAGGATTAGTCGTAGGATCACTTCTGGCTACTATCTAATTTTATCTGTGTGTCACTGATACCAAACGTCATTCTTTTCATTATGAGAACCCCTCGACAAACAGGACTAAAAATAAAAAGCAAGAGCTCGGAGTTGGCACAAACTGTGCTACATGGACTCCAATTTGTATAGCAGGAACTATAATCACTCTGAGACGTGCCCAAGCCCTCGGGCATCCCACGGGATTTCAGTCACTTGTTTACAAGGTGTTCTGATTTGCAGCTGTTTGACTACTGTGGCATTTCAAGAGGGGGCGGTTTGAAAGGATGTTGTTACTTTGGACGTTGGGATTGGGAAATGGGTATTGAAAAATCACACAAGAAACAGGCGAGTGCTGTCTTTGTTCTTCCCCCCTTACATATGAATGACGTCAGTGCCGGGGAAAGGAGCTTCAGGAACAGATCCAGAGACCAATGCTCTAGAAAGAATACACAGGGTACAGGTAAATCCTCGAAAACAGAGTTGTGCCCTAACCTACCACACAGAGTGCCCCGCATCTGATCTGGGGGGACTAAGCTCTGGAGGTAAGAAGGGAACCATCCAAGCCCATTGCTTTTCCACCTTTTCTAACAAGGTTACCAGCAAATAAATTGATATTGTGCCACGGACATCCCTAAGAACTAGGATAAAGGCCATCACCAGCTCACTTCAAACAGGCCAGCAGCAGCTGAAATGGATTTGGTCACTGGCTTAAAGTGATTTATCAATTCAGATGGCTCTTTCCATCATTCCCGCTCTCCTGACCTGAACAGTTCCTCTTTCAGAGCTGCATTAAGCTAATACCCACTTTCTTATGGGCCCTCTTGGGATAATGGATTCAGATATGCAGAAGGAATGTAAAAATCTGTCTGTTATCTGGGATGAGTGATTTGCACAATAGTGCCCGTGAGTGTTTGTTTAACACTGTGGACAGCAGAACCCTGCTAAGTGGTAACACGCTGAGAAAGGGAAAGCAAGAACGGAGGAGAAAGTAGCCTGGCTGATTAAAAACTATGTCCACCGAGCTGTGTGCGTTTTTTGGCTTAGTTAGCTGTTCACTTGTTTTTTGTGGGAAACCAGGAAGGACACGTGGAGCTTTTCCCAGGCTTTAGTGTTATTCTCTTGTTTCCAGCATTGGTTTTTGTATGCATTAACTGACAGTAACTCATGTAGAAGATCTAGTGCCAAGAGGATATTTACCTTGCAAACATTTAATCTGCTGCCCCTTTCTCCTCTTCTGTGACTTTTTCAAGCGATGACTGACGGGAGGCGCCATGTGCACTTGAAGAAGCATCACTCCTGCCAACCTTAGACACAAGCCCTCTGCCTGCCCAGTGTGTGCCAGAAACCTGACTGCACTTTCTTGGCAGGGAGCAGCCTTCCCCTCACTTCCTGGAGGTGAAAGAGGGCTCAGCCTAGAATGCAAAGCATAAAAATGTAAAGAATCTGTTAGATTATACTATGACAAATTGGTGTTTTTCTAGCAAGATTAAAACCCACCCCGTGTTTGATTCTGAGTGACATTGATCAGTTTGGCACCAACAACTTCTCCACTGGTGTCATGAGTGACTTCTCTTTAAGCAAGCACCCAGAGAAGCACTCCTTGGTTTCTCTAGGCAAAGTTGAAGGAAAAATCTGCATTTGCATTGCACATGCCATCAAAGATCTCAAAGTACACGACTTATCCTAGCCCACATGGCAAATCTGTATCCGAGTTGGGTCAGAAATTCTGACTCTCCCTCCTTTGCTCCAGCCAGGCTGACTTTTCCTCAAGGTCAGCTATGACTGCTGCCATCAGAAGCATGCTATACTGTCACCACCTTGTCACACATACCAGTTTCAGACTCCCTGGTTTTTACCCATAGCTATGGAAAATTGTCTGCAGAAGAGGCTGCTTAGAAAGGAAGTGGAAGATTGCTGAAGTCTATTCTAATCCACAGTCTATATTTATGCAGCCCTTGTCACAGCAGAGCAGAGAAAATGTCACTGGAACAGTTTTCTTTTTGCCAACAGGCAAGAGGTTTAAAACGAGGCAGTATAACCTCTATTTGATGATGTGTTTCTACAAATGTTTAACTTGCTATTTCATTTAAAAATCATCTTTAATGTTGATTTATATTCCTGGCAGTGAAGTCAGGAGGTTGGCAATCCCATTCCATTTCAGTCTGTGCTCTGACTGAGGCAATAACGCAGATCAAAGAGAAGGAGTCTTGCAGCACTCACATTTTATCATCCTGAATGTTTTCAAGTTCTCACTCTGATATTCATGGGCAGATTATGTAACTACTAGATTTATACTTCTGAAGGCCAAATAGTAAAGACTGAAATGTTGTATCATTAAGAGGAAGTATTTGGAAATAATTGAATTGAAATAAGGAACAACATATGAAGCAAACACTTGACAAAAGCAGCAATGCTTTCCTGGAGATGTTGTCTTGCTCCAGTCTTTTATAGGGTCAGCCATTTGTTTTCATGCCATAGAATATAAAATTAACTGCATGTTATTAGACATTCTAAGTCTTGTTTTCCATCTAAATATGTCAAGCTGACATTTTTATTGCCTTAAGTAATTGCTAAATATTCAAGGACTTGAATTCCATCATTAACAGTTTACCTAAATGATGGAAGAGGAGTAAGCCACAGAACTTCTGTGAATTTTTTAGAAGATAATAACTTACAGTTAATTATCTAACAAGTCAGAGAACATGAAAACTTGCCTTGGTGCCTGCCTTGAGCCTCCCTGCCCATGGTTTTTTGCACAGTATCTTATAAATACTGATAGGTTTAGTTGTCTAATGTCCTGGAGAGTTTGACACCATAGCAGCATCCCCTTTTTTTACAGGAAAGGGAACACAGGCAGACAAAGGTTAGCAGATCATAGAAGCATAGAATCATCAAGGTTGGAAGAGACCTTTAAGATCATCAAGTCCAACCGTCAAAGCAACACTACCATAAACCACTAACCATGGGTTTATGTAGCCCATAAACCACTAACCATATCAACCAGCACCAGATCCAGACAACTCTTAAACACCTCCAGGGATAGTGACTCTGCCACTCCCCTGGGCAACCTCATGGCTAGGCTTCGCAAATGAAGATACTCCCATGCCTAAGATGTACCAAAGGATGAGAGAACGGATTGAAAGCAGCCCTGAGGAGAAGGACTTCAGGGTGTTGGTTGATGAGAAACTCAATGTGACCTGGCCATGTGCAGGTTGCTTGGGGCTCTGAGCAACCTGGTCTAGTGGAAGGTGTCCCTGCCCATGGCAGGAGGGTTGGAAGGACATGATCTTTAAGGTCCCTTCCAACCCAAACTACTCTATGATTCCATGCAGTGGAGCAGGATCTGGACATGCTGCTGGCTGGAGGGCCCAGGCTGTGGGGCTGTCAAGGCCAGGCACAGCCCTCTCTGCATGGGCCTGGCTACTGTGAGCCACCACCAGACACCTGGACAGGCTGCGGGCACATGGTTGGCTCGATCTGTGTGGGGAGATCACAGAATCACAGAATTGTTAGGGCTGGAAGGAACTTTTGGAGATCATCCAGTTCGACCCCCCTCAAGGCAGGGTCACCTAGAGCAGGTAACACAGGAACACATCCAGGTGAGTTTTGAATGTCTTCAGGGAGGGAGACTCCACAACCTCCCTGGGCAGCCTTTTCTACCTCACCACCCTTTGCCACTTTCAATGTAAGGTTCTTCCTCATGTTGAGGTGGAACTTCTTGTGTTTTCATTTATGTCCATTACTCCTCGACCTGTCGCTGGGCACCACTGAAAACAGCCTGGCATCATCCTCTTGGCATCCATCTTTGAGATATTTATATGCATTAATGAGATCCCCTCTCAGTTTTCTCTGAACTAAACAGGCCTAGCTCCCGCAATCTCCTCATAAGAGAGATGCTCCATACCCCTAATGATCTTTGTGGCCCTCCGCTGGACCGTGTCCAAGAGTTCCATGTCTCTCTTGCACTGAGGAGCCCAGAATCGGACACAGCGCTCCAAATGTGGCCTCACTGGGGCTGAGCAGAGGGGCAGGATCACCTCCCTCAACCTGCTGGCCACACTGTTCTCGATGCACCCTAGGATACTACCGGGCCTCCTGGCCGCCGGAACCCGGCTGCACAATGCTCGGCTGCCCAGCACTGGCACCGCCACGGACACGGACAGCGCCGCCGGACCCGCCCCGTCGGGCTGGAACGCTCCGCCCCCGCCCCGCCCTGGCCCGGCCCCGCGCCCCGGACGCGGTTCGGGCGAGCGGAAGGGGCGGGCGCGGCCGGGGCGGCTCGGGGGGTACCGGCGCGATGTTTCTGACGGCGGCGGCCCGTGAGTGGCCCGTGAGGGGCGGAGCGGGGCCGGGGTCGGGGCCAGGGCCGGGCGGAGCGGGCGCCGGGCGGGGGTGGCCGTGGGGGTGGGCGGGCGGCTCGACGGCGGCGCGACCTGCGCTGCCCTTGCCCGCCCTGCCCCTCCCTCGGCGAGCCTCGGGGGAAGCTCAGGGTGACCTAAACACGACGTGCACAGACACAGTGTAGATGAGCATTTTTTTTTTTTTTAATTTTAGCGCAGTTTTGCATTTATGCTGTAGATATATGATTATTTTAAATGCGGTGAGCTGACAGAAATAATTCGGCCTGTTTCATGCTGTGTGGTGGGTTAACTCGGGGGGACCGAAAACCAGCCTTGTGAGAAGGTCAGGCTCACGTGAGAACAGCTCCCTGCCCTGGTTCACCCTCTGGCCAAGCAAAGCTTTGCCTTGGCACCACGGCAGGAACTGCAGCAGGAGTGGGCATGAGCAAGTCGGGAAGAGTGGGGCTGCAGTTTCCACCAGCAGTGTTGTCCGTACCTGTCCTAACCTAGAGAATTCATACTCATTACTGAAGCTGAAAACTTACTGAAAACACCTGGAGGTTGCAGCAAGTGCAGTCTGTCATGCTGAGCACTGTATTTGCACAGACACCTACAAAGGTGGTATGATGGCAGAAGGAGCAGGCAGCTGACATCACATGGACGGATGAGTGGTGTTTATTGTGACAGTAAAGCTCTTTCCACTGTCTATCTGTGGCTTTTGCAAAGGCAGGCGGTGGAAAACTCTGTATGTAACATATAAAGGAAGTAAGATAAAATGATAACTGTTTCTTTTGTTTTTCTCTTTTTCATGCTGCAAAAAAACCACCAGTGGCCAAGAGCAAATCTAAGTAAGTGATGTTTTCCTAACCAGTTTTGGGTTTTGGGTATCACCCTGTATCTTTACAGAATGTTAGGCTTCTCTAAATTTTTTTAATATACCTGAGAGAATTGCAGACCTTGAGTCTAGCTGCCTCTTCTCTGTCCTGCATGTGTGTCTTCTCACAGGTAAGTATAGAATGGTGTGAAGCTCCTCGCTGGGTTCTGAAATTGCAGCAAAGGCAAGTTTGTCCTGTGGGCTGTTGCACTGATCTGAGCTGTAATATCCAAAGCACCTTGTGCGGGGGGAAGCACACCTCTGTGTGCTCTGTGATTAAAGAGAGCATGTAAATTATCTGCATATTCTTGCTCTTGTTTACCTTTCATACCTTTTTAGCTGAGGAGAGCACACTGAGCTACAATGTGGGTCTTTGTTGTCTGTGGGCTGAACTTTGGGCAGGTGCCTTGAAGCTTTCCCCTAGACAGTGGGCAGAGCACTTCCTAGGAGTGGACAGCATGCGGTCAGTGCTCTGGGTGTCTTGGTTTACTCTGTAGTCCAGCTTAGGAGAGATGTTATTGGGCTCTGGAAGAAAATTAGTCACAGTCCTCCAAGCTGTAAAGAAAGCTGATGGTGTGTTAAGGCTTTGAAAGGAAGGAACATGGTACTTGAAACACACGAGTACTCTTACAGTGTGGGCACAAGGAGACAAGACTATGTGGAGAAAATTACTTGCATCCAAAATGCTATTTTAAAAGAAAATTAGCTAGACAAATGCAAGGGGCTAAAGTGATACATTTATGTGAACACATTCCTGTTTTCCCATTCCCAGAAGTTGCATTCTGTGTGAGTGTATTATCTTTCATACATTTTCTATATTTTGGTTTAAGACTCAGCCCTCGACAGAGCCAGTACCAACCATTTACAGGGTTTGAGGAGATTCTTCTCTTACAGAATTTCTGCACAATTGTCAGGGTTTTAAATTAAGACACACTTCCCAAGTATGTCCCTGACAGAGGGCAGTTCAACTTCTGAGTGTTCTACTGTTCACAAAAACAAACACAGCAAAGCAGGAGGTTTCTGCGAGGTGAAAAAGTAGCTGTTTTAAATGGTGGTACTAGTGGTAATGTAGGGATTTCTGCCACACACCCCATTTTATTTTTTTATCCTGATGTTTCTTTTGCTCTTCTTTAAAGTTCCATATATGCTTCAGGAATATTTTATGTTTAAATATTTATCCTTCTGAACTTGCCTTGGGTTTCTCCCTGTGCCCCAATAGCCTTCTAGTGTTGTTTTCTGCCTTTGCTCCCAGTTATATTTCTTCATCAGGGAGTGATTTTTTTTTTGAATAAGGTGTGTTTGGAATGGGCTTGGCCTCAGATGTGTGGAGCATAAGAATTTCAAGGCCTGGTCAAACTGATAACACTGATTCTCCCAGAAAGAGGAAACTGCACAGAAACTTTGAGGAAGTGGATAAGGTATAGGGGGAAGGAGTCTTTGTGGTCACTGGGGCTTCACAGCACACCTGCAGTAGTGTACAGGAGAGGACAATAACCAGGGATAATCCCAAGAATATGCTTGGTCAGTTAATCTGCAGGAATCCAGTGATTTTCTGTTCAAGGAAGTACACTAGTCGAAGCTACACAAGTGAGGAAGAACAGGTTAATTTTGAGTGGCCATTCTGTATTAGAAACAGGAAAATGCAGGGAAATGGAAACTGAACTCAAAGCCCACATGCAGAGATGTGTCCATCTCTTTACTGCAATGGAAGACGTAATTTACAGAATGGTTAAAGGGTTTTACCTTTCTTTTGAGACTTCAGAGGATGCCCTCTGTCTGGGAAGTTGCATGGATCTTGGCATACTTCCAGGTTGGGGGTGTGGGGCAGCTTTTTCAGTCTCCTGACTTGCCCTGCTCCCAGGACACTGCAGGTCCTTCCAGCCCACCCCACAAACCGAGAGCCCTGCAGTGGGGAAGGGGGTTCCTGTGGCTGAGTTAACATCAAGCTCTGTATCTAGTGGGATGGATGGTGCCAGGGGGTCCTGCTTCTCCTTTTGCACGTCTCTTATTCCAGCCTATCTGCTCAGCTTCCTCTCTGCATGTGGAAGTGATAGTCTGATACAGTGTTATCTACAGCCTGAACATCTTTAACTACCATCATCCTTCCTCTCTTGCCATTATCTTTTAAGCCATAATGACTCAGTTCTGTGCTGATTTTTCTAATTTCTTTTTTTCTTTCATGCTTTTATTCCTCCTGCCACACTGTTCTGTGGAGGAGCTCCTTCTCTGTGGGCTTGTATCCTGTTCAAGAGTTGTTTACTTAAACTTGATGCTGGAGCTTGTGGTTTATAGTGGGCTGTTTGTCTTGTTGTAAGTCTGATATTGATGCTCCCGTCCAGAACATCTCTGAAGCTGAAATGGAGTATCTTATGTGATTGTGCCAAATTGTTTATGCTTAAACCTTGTCCATTTGCCTGTGCCCTGGCAGACATGTGGTACAGGCTGTAGCTGAGTGCCTGTGCATTGACACAGAGACATCCCTGTGACTTTAGATACGTTCTGGTGAGGATGAAAAGTGCCGCAGAGACGGGCTTCTGTTTCAACGTCAGGAGACTCCGACTACAGGAAAAACTGGTCTTACTGAGATATGATCCCATTGGTAAGAGCTTGGGGAAAAAGTCAGTGTGCTTTCTATAAACTTCTCTGACTGTGTGGGGCAAAAGATTTGAATGTAACAGGATTTTTCCCATCTAAGCAGAATATGTCATAACATGTTTCATACTCAGATGACTGTACAGTTGCTGTTCTTCATGACATTCCAGTGGGAAGTAAGCATTACCCTCATTTTACAGATTGTGGCAGGGAAACAAAGTAATGACTTGCCTGACACATCAGAGACTTTGATGACAGCCATGCCACATGTCACTGGCAAAGCCAAGTGACACAGGAGTTCTTTCATTCTGTTTCTTTGTGTGGTTTGCTAGACTGTGCTACCTCCAACAAGCAGTCACGAAGTATGCATCAACAGAAGCATTCTTTTAAGTTGCCATGGGTGTTCTGAACAACAAATTTTAACCATCACTTACAAAATGGACTTTTTCTTTTAAAGAAGTAAACACAAGTTCTTCCTCCTCCACAAACAATGCCACTCTCCAGATGACAGTTAATGGGTTCCTTTATATTCCTTTGGTCCTCGCAAATTTTCTTAGCTTAAGAATCTGATTTGTTGGGGGGGGGGTTATAGCACTTGCCAAACTGCCATTTGCTCGCCCAGCTTTTTAAAAGTTGACTAAGAGTTCAGGTTTCTGTAGTTAACTTTAAAAAGCTGAATTTAATGTTAAAAAGCTTAATTTGGGTAAACTTAGAATTTAAACCAGACCATGCATGGTGGAGGTAATGCAAAAAAGGCTTATTTAAAGCTATAGACTAAAGAAATGTATTAAGCAGCTCCAAGCAGATAATATAATGCACGGCCAGTAGTTATGTGGTTCAAGCTTATTTTTTCTCATAATTTTATGTGCTTCTTAGATGACTACTACCTTTTCATTCTTAGAGTTAATATTACAACAGCTTTATGACAAGTGAGAGAAACCACCAGAGAAGCAATATGCTCTCATCAAAGCTGACAGAGGTTGTGCCTTTCCTTTTGAATTCCATACAAAAGGGAAATCAGAAATCTCTTGGACTATTTTCTTGAATAAGAAAAATTCAAATTACTGCATTGAAGCATTGTGCAAAGTGATCCTCCAGCAGCTTTGCAACTTGTAGGAAAGTGAAGAGCTCAGACAGAACACGTAGTAGGTTTCTGAAGTAAGCTCTGATCTTTGTAGCCTGTAGTAGAATACAAGTGAGAAATTGATGTGAGAAAGTGCTGCATGTGTGAAGGGAAGTAAATTTGAGTCTGGATAACAACTCACATCAGGAATATGTTAGGAAGCATTTTCACTTGGCATGCATTTTCACCTTATGTTTTGTACTTCTCAGAAACCTGGGACCTCCACAGAATGAAGCTTTTTAGTGAAGTAGTGGCAGGAGTGCCCAAGTTTCACTACCTCCTAGCTGCAGTGACAGAATGTGTTACTAAGCTGCAGTATTTCTTAAAACGAAACTTTAAAGTGGAAGAAGAGATTTTGTCACTGTGTGGATTGCTCTTGCATAGCTTTCAAAGGAATTCATATAATGAAGTTGAATCAAAACATGCTTTGCAAATGACACTAAAAAGCTTTGCTTTAATTTATTTTGTAATTTTGGGGTTTTAGTAATGCATTGACTATGCTTAACCAGTAGCTGAAGTGACTTTGCCAACATCTGCATCAGGTGCTAGGGGCAGGGTCAGTTTGTGCCCCTGTTGAGAGATCCACAGGACACTTCGTTAACTTCTCAGGCAGACTGTGAGATCAGCTATATCCAGCTCATCAACTGCAGTTGTTTGGGCTCTGGAGTTGAACAGCAGTAGAAAGCAGTAAGAACCTATTTTTGTCCCTGTACGGAGAAGCTGTGACTCAGAGTAGTCACACAGAGCAGCTGTTGAATGTTTTCAGTCATTCCAATCCTGATACTTATTCTCACAGAGGTGAAGTGGACCTCTTAGGAACTAAAAATTACATGTGGTAAAGTGAAAGCACTACTAAATTCCTTCAAGAGTTGGTTAACAACAGTGCTGTGCCAGTCAGTTGCTCCACACTCATTTAAGCAGTGAAGGCAGCCAGGGGAAAAGGGACGTGGGCTCCTTTTTTTAACACTTCAGGCTTTTTAACAAGTTCTTTTTCTTCCCCTATAGCAAAACAACGTGTCCTCTTCACAGAGAAGAGAAAAATCCGCTCTATGTGAACAGTGACTGGACTTGATTTATACTTGAGGAGAGGATGGTCTGGGGGGAGGACGGGGTGAACGCTGATTCAGAAATCCAGCAACATGGGCTGAAAAGAGAGGAAATGAACTGGGATCACCGTCTCCTGTGATTTGAAGGCCATTGTGAATAAAACAATGTAGAGAGAGAAAATTCTTAATGTCTGGACATAGATCATCACAGTAACATTTATTTATCTTTTGAGTTATTTTTACAGTACTCAATTAAAAAAAATTAAATAGCAAATCCCATTGTCTGTGTTTTCCATTGTGAAAGAGGCTGTAATCTTCAAAGGAACTATTGTTTTATAAAGCAATAAAAATTAACATTTTCCACAGCAGGAATTCAATGGCAGGATTGCAAGTTTTTCTAACCTACCAGCCACAGATGTGACAGTAGTGACCATAAGCTGGTGTCATTCCTTGGAGGGGTAATGTTGCACCAGCTCCTTCTGAGGAAAAAAAGCAATGAAAACCTAGTCATGTAAGATGAGTTTTTGGATAAGCTATGACCACGGCTAAAAGGATTATATTATTTTCAGCAGGTTAGTAGGATGGATTTTTCACTCCTGGGTTTTTGTCAAACATGAAGAAACCAAAGTACTTCTCTGATGTTCTTGGAAGCTTTTCTTCCTTAATTAGCTTGCCTGTGTTTAGAACAATATGGCTAGAAACATTTTTCAAAATCTGCCTCCCGTAGCACTCTTGTCCTCTTTTCATTTGGAGGGACCTTCCTCCACCTTCCAGAATGTGGGGAGGTACAGTGCTGCATCTGAGGCGAGCGGGCATAGACGTGCCCGGGCTTGACGGACGGTGCTTTGTTGAGAGCCGCATGCTGGCCTTGGTGTCTGCAGCTGAGTACTGAAGTTGCAGTCTCAAAGCTAACACTCTGCTTCATGTGCTGCCATTGCCCATCAGAAGTTCTGATAAAATCAGTAAAAATACTGCCAGGAGCCCAATACCCTCCAGGTGTTTTGCTGTAAACTTCATGTAGTTCAGTACAGTGCATTGTGTGGGACAGCCACAAGCCCAAAGGCTGTGTGGGGCCAGAGAGACCTGCTGTGCTGTGTTTGAAAGACCCACCACCCCCACCCCATCTTACTACTGTAGAACAGGAACACAGGATTCCTGAAATAAGAAGCAAAGAGACTTTTCTGGCCTTTCCAGTCAGCAGAGGAGAACCTCCTTGCAGTTAGGAGAATAATGCTGTCTGGTATGAGATAAAATCAGCACAGTGATCTAGACAATCAATTAGAAAAGGTCCTGAGGCAAGTCCTTCCTGTAAGGATATGAAGATTGTGTCCCTGATGCCTGGACACTTACTGATGCGATGCAGTTAGACTTCCTGATCATTTCCTCCATGGATAACTTGGGATAGTAAGCCAGGTAGAAGGCCAGTGCTCCCACAAAACTGTCTCCAGCTCCCTAGAATAAAATAACAAACAAGCTTAAATGTATTTGCACAGGGAAACAATTCAGATGCCTTTACCGGAAAGAGAGAAGTTGCAGCACTGATTGCAGGAGTCAGGAAATTGTTCAGGGGTTGAGTTTAATTCACTTTTCTATGCCTAGGAAATTCTGCAAAGTTAAACTAATGCCCCAATACTACCCTTATGCCTAGCTGCTGAGTCAAGGTGCGCATTTACAATATGGCTTAAAACTTAAAGAAAAGCAAGCGTACTACAGTTCAGCAAGATGCTGTTATAAACACTGCTTTCAAAACTTCCTGTTGTTGGAG